AGTCTTTATACTCCAGTTAAAGATTAATTGATTACTAAATTGATACTAAGTTGGTGATTATTTCAATAATCGATTAATCCAATTAATTGTTTCAGCCCTAGTTGTACCTATTGACCAGCTTGCATTGGGCAGAACGTGCAGTAGAACGTGCAGCCAAGACAAGTTTTTATAACAGACTGACTTAATATTTTGTCAAATTCCCCCCCCCCCAAAAAAAAATACATTTGAGTGTTTTCCTTCATACCAAAATGTCAAAAAAGAAAAAGCATTTACTGCATTAAAAAAAGAATAAAATAGGGATGAAATACATGGTATATAAGTAATGGTTTGTGAATAGCAAGAGAAGGTCACAGCAATCACACAACAGCACTGGTGGAAACTTAAACGCAAATACAGAAATAATGAAGTTAAAAAATACCATCGCACAGAGATAAATAAAAAAGGACACGTTAAAAGCTAAGAAAAAACAAATCCAATAGGCATAAAAATGTAAACACAGTCCCCATGATGAGGACTTTTGGGGCCCAGGTTCAAATTCTGCTTGCATCAGGCAGAGCATCTGGTGTAAAAACTTTTTCAAAGGCTGTTAAAGAGTCATATTGACCTGCTGCAGTGACCCCTACGTATGGGAGCAGCAGAAAGGAAACAAACATTGGCGTAAATGAACAATGTTTCAAAAATTCATATTTTAAAAGGCAAAGTTCGCTGGACTCTTCAGTTCATGTGTTCGGTAAATTCAAAGGGTGGCTTTTTTGTTAAAGCATTACAAAAAGCATGTTTATTTGAAACTGCATTTTAAATGCTCTATATTTCTGCTGAGATCTACCAACATTATGTCAATGTCAGCACAATCCTTAAGGTTTCTTCAGCAGATACCAATAATGAATCCATGTCCTGATTACTTTGGTGCCACTTTTCAGAGAAGGGCCTTCAGCTCTGTGTTGCCTTTTGGTAAATGCTTCCACACAACAGGACTATTTTAGGCTGATTATCTAAAACAAACTAATGCAAACAGACCAACTTGCATGTTTCTATCTGGGTGTCCGTAGTTCAGGTTTCGGGTGACAGCCTCACAGTGCAGTCAAGTGGTGAAATAATGGCAAGACCAATATTCATAAAGCAACATGTTTATGCATTTGTTCTATAACATTAAGAAATAGTTAAATCCCCTTTAGGAGTACATAGCTTCCTATACCCCAGTTGCACTGTGCAATGGTATGCAGAAATATTTTTTCCATACAGTTTTGCAGATTTGTAAGAGTTTTAAAATTCACAGCTTATTTAGTTCTGCTCCGCATTTAATGCCTAAAGGAGATATTTTTAAAACAAACTCTGCCTTCAGGTGTTTACTCTACTGCTTTAAAGCCTCCTCTATATTAGATTGCTTTGTTACACTTTCTGTTAAAAAGAAACCTTGTATTTGTATTTAATATGACTGCTATAAATATGTATATATTTAAAATATGTCAGAAACTATATGTTAACTACATTAGCACATACAGTTGTATGTGCTAATGTAGTTACTAAGTATTTACTATGTCTTAATTAGATAATCTGATACCTTATAGATGGTTGTTACAACTGTCACTATTATTTTTTTTCTTTCTTTGTGTTGTTTTTGGTATTCTACAAGTTAGTAGGGAGAATTGTACTTTATTTAGGTGAGTTTATATTCATTATTACCCATAACTACGAAGTTAAAAAAAAAAATGTTCTCTTGATTATGGATAGCTGATAGAATTCATGTGTTTTTTTTTTTTTTTACCTTCTTCCTCCTTTTGAAATAGATAAGCAAAAGTCATTTTTTTTGTATACATGTTTACGGATATGTATGTACTTGTATTATAAGACCTACTGTATCATCTCTCTTCTCTTAATTATATTTTTGCTTTGTTTTTTAACCTGTTTTTATAAAGTAAACAACCACATTGCCTGTTTGCTCTTGATTCTGTGAAATAAAGACCAAAATACTCAGTAAACTGTGATGAAGGTCTCAAACTGAAGTCCTTAACAACTCTATGATCTCACATCCTTTATGTTTAGTTGTGCATTAAACCTAAAAACATTGGATTGGAAGAGAGTTAAGCTCACTGGAAAAAATGCATAACTCAACTACTGACTGACAAAAACATATATAGTTAATATCATTTTTTTTTCTGGATATATGTTTTTTTTAGATGTACATTGTACATTTTCCCCATATTTTGGTAAATATGAACCACATAACCTCAACCCTCCTTACAAGTTAGTGTGTTGCTCTGCTCTGAGGCAGCTGATTGCTTTACAGTAACACGATTAACAGGATAGACTCCAACAGCACGGTGGCCATCATGGTCCCTAGAGGCCGAGGTGTCCGTCTCACTGTGTGTTCTCACTGAGCTCAGCTAAATGAATGGTGATGCTGATTATGAGGCAGGTTTGGCTTTGTCTGTTTCAATCACCAGCAATAATTTCCTCAGTGGGAAAACAATAACCGGAACACAATGAAAAATGCAGTTATGGAAAAAAGAAATAAATCAGGACACCTGAACAGATCGTTTTTTGAGACAATTTGCTGAAACATAGATGTCTAATTTATTGCTTACTTGTTAACCCTTTATACGGCACTCAATTAAAGACTTTAAATATCTAAATTAAGTCATTTTCTCTTAAAATTAGTAAATTTTTTCTTGAACTGAGCAGGTAAGTGAGACTTTGCAAATGGAATAAGAACATTTACATTTAAAATAAGGGGAAAAGTTTAGTCTCCTATATCAAGAGCATAATATCAAATGATCTGATAGTAAGGATAAAAATGCTTCATCCACTGAGAGATTTTCTTATTTACCTACTCAAATTAGGGTAAATACACTTATTTGAAGACATTTTCACTCATTTTTAGATAATGTTTGTAGTGTGTTATTGGAATCCAGGACAAGACCTTATTATCTTTGTAACATTCAAAAAATATGGATGTTTTGATGGGAAAAATGAATGTCAATGTGATAACAAGTAACGCCAACTTGCCCAAATATATAAAAAAACAAAAGTGCTTCTATAAGAAATTCATGAAAAACACTCTGAGAGTAAAAGAAACAAATTTTTTTAAGATACAACATAACCTTAGACGCTTATTAACCCTTTAGCTTTACTAACTTTCTAACTTTTCAATTAGCTTTTTACCTTTTTTTCTTGACTTCTTATTCTTTTTTTTTCCAACTTAATTTACAGTCTGTAATATATAATTCAAGGGCTCATCTAATTGGTCAAATGCCAAAATAAAATGTACAGCCATGTAGCAGTATCTTTGATGAATGGCTGGATATAGATCTTGTGCTTCTAGACCTCACTGAGGGACAGAGGGGACTCCATTTCTAAAGGGAATGCAAGTGATCAAAAATGGTAACTTGTCCTATAAAGGGTTAATGATTATGTTTTAGTCACAAGTAAACACACACACACACACATCAAATATGTTTTAATTATTGAAGAAATATTTTCAAACATAATAGTGTGTTTAAATTAGGAACACACTAGAACACCTTCCAGCCTAATTCACCCCTTTGATTTTTTAAAAACTTTTCCGTTAATAAGCTTCAGTGGGACCTGTCTTAAAGGGATTTAAGTTTCTATACATCAGTGTAAGCGAGAGGAGTTCCTCTGTCCTTCCTCTCAGCTGTTTCAGAAGTTTACTTCATGTAAGCCTCAAGCCCCATATCCTAAAAAAAAAACAAAAAACATTTGGAACAACCAGGAATTTCCATTTCTAAAATCGTAGTCACCTCTCTGCAGTTTTACTACTTTGTTTTCGGTCACCATCATGTGAGATTATTTCCATTTAGGGATTCAAATTTTCATCAAACCACTTTAAAAACAGGAAGGAATTTCTAACAGTATATAGGATGTGGAGATGACCTGGTCCTCCTGAAGCATCCCAAACCATGGCACATCCACCTCTATGCTTCAGTTAGGATTAAATTTGACTGTCTTCCAGATGTTTGTGTAAGTTCATGTGTGCTAAGAAATCTAAGAGAGACCTACATTGGTTTACATGCACAAACTTGCTAGTTAAGAGGTTTAGATCATCTACATTTGGTCACCATGGAGATCCACTTAAAACATTCCTAATCTGGGAGCAGGTTTCAAAGGTTGTTGATTTTGCTGATGCTTCGTGTGGACAGGACCTACAAAATCCAGCTTGGTATGGACGGGCCTTTTTTTAAACTGCTTGTTGAAAGTATTATAGCCCGATTCTCTTCCACATTGTGTTCATTTTTTTTTTTAACTTCACATTTATGTGCTGTTGGTCCATCCAACAGAATACAAATAAAACCACAGAAGGGTGTGAACATGAGAAAATGTTAATTTTTCTGTGACCTTGACGAACCGCCTCCTACATCCGTCACTTTAGTTCGTCTAAAAACTAAACTCTGTCTCTTGTATTTGACTAGTTTAACAGAGAGAGAAATCAGAACTGACATAAAGCCTTTTTTTGTCTTCCACTCAGATGTATGGCATCAGAAGATGAATTTTATCTGCTTAGAAAAGCTGCTGGTGGAGTTTTATGGACTATTCTGGCACATAGGATGATGCTGATTGGTATGAACGAGTGCAGAAGAACACCCTGAAGGTTTGGGGGTAAGGGGGCCTCGGCGGGGAAACGGCCTCAGTATAAAGAGCTCCCATTGGGAGGTCCACGGCAAGACAGCCTCCGGCATGTGCTGAGGCTCATCATTGGCCAAGGACGCTGCGTACATCAGCAAACCCGGTGTTGTTATTATTCTGGAGTGTGGCCTGCTTGATGTGTGACCATGTACAAAAGTGGGCATGTAAATGAACTGTTTCGGCGTGTGCTGACCAACTGCGGCGCCATGATTAGTTACGCGGTCTCTCTGGTAACAGCAGCTGCCACCACGTGTCCACCATTGTGATGTAGAAATCCATCTGACACCATGATGACTTCTTTGTACCCACGCCAACAGTAGAGAAGAAGGAACAAAAAAAACAAAAAAAACCACACAGCTTTTCTTCATCAGGTCTTTTTCTCTTCATTAGTTTATTTTCTAGTTGCTTAAAAACAAAAGAAACTCAGAGGGCCTCAGTTTCAGCTAACAGAAAGCTTGCCTGCACCCCAGCTGCTTCTTTTAGCTTTTTCAAAATTCATGAGCATATGCAAATTATGATGCAACTCATTCAGTTGTCAACTGAGACATGTGACCCAAACAGAAAGGTCTCAGGTCACTGGGGGGGTGGAAGAGGCTCCAGCGGTGCAAAGAGGGAGAGGAGGGAGGCAATCCCCACCTGCCCCAGTCTGCTGTGAGATGGAGCCGCTCTTTGCATAATGGACGCTGATTGATGGGATTTTCTTCTTTTCAAAACACAGTAATACCACAGTTACACACCTGCCGAGGAGCGAGGCATCACCATTTAATGTCTTTAAAACCATCATCATTCTTATATAAATGGTGCTAGATTCAATTTAAATAACGTAAAAAAAAATCTATTCAACAAATCACCCCTTATTCCAACATAGTGACAGTTAAAACCAAATACTTAAATGCAGTGTGAAAAAAAGACGTCTTCTTTACTTTCTAACATTAAATTAAACTATATTTTTCCCATATTAAATAATCTAGAATGACCCAATTTATTTATCTTCGCTAAACCTTAGATTCATTTATCTTTTTTTTTACTTACTGTAAGTAAATCTCTGGTTTCGACTGTATAAACAATATTTAAAGCACCTCTAACACCACACACCCCACTAATCTTTCGAGGGGGTGTGCTTCTAACACACAGGATCTGAATTCTTGATGCAAGACAGAAATGATAAAAAAAAGAACATCAACTGCCCACAGATTTAGTGGGAAAATTTACTGCTGCCATCAGAAATGTTCAACCCCTCCCCCCCAAAACAAAAGATTCTAGAGAAGACGATTCGGCTGTGATTATGTGATGACTGTCCTTTTAGTGTAACACTGTATTTTGTAGGGATGACCACGCTCTGGTAACACTTTTAAGCATTCTGACAAAGGTAAATCAATTAACTCTTTGGAATCTTTATTGCTATCCTCTATTTCTTTTTCACCAAGGTGAATTTGCAAACAAGAAGCTTTCTTAAAGGCTGAAAGACGGTTTATTTCTTCCAGCCTTGGGAGAAATTCTAAAACTTGCCATCTGTGAAAGGAAACATCTTATTAAGGGGCCTTGGTGACTTTCAGAGGACAACAAGGAGAAACAACTAAGCAATGGCAAGACAAGCTCAACAAATGTCTGGTCTAAATGCTTGAGTCACTGAATAAATGAGAACTACAAGTGCAGACTCCACTATTAACAAGAAAAAGGTTTAGTAGGATTTAGATAGAAGTGATGATGTTTGGGAGACAGTCACAGTCTGATTGTAACAAGACCTGTAGTATGTCTGAAGTGCTGTAGGCCAGGTTAATAACATTAAGAACATCCCTGCTATGGCCTAGCATGAAAAGGGTTATTTTTTTTGTCTATGTTGGGCTGGTTTCTGATTGGCGTCATTGATTTAAGGAAAACCATGAGGCAGTCTGTTGGCAATCTGAACCCTGGTCATCATGATGTCTAGATCCTACAGCATCCCATGGTAACAGTCTCTTTAGATGTTAAAAGGGGCAAGCTGCCGCACTGAAACAAGCAGAATAAGCTAAGATCTCAAGAATATTAGTTGGAAGTTAAAAAAACCGGCTGGGGATGGGTTGAACAAACTCTAGTAGGTAAAAGAGCGGCACTTTTGTGTGCAAAAATAACAAATTTCCACTCTCTTTAACTTCCATTCACATCATTGCTAAGGGATTGGTGAGGAGGGGGTTGTTTATTTCTGATTGCAACATTTGCACCTATTTGCGTGCATTTTTGCAAAGGATACCTCCAAAGCAGCTCCAAAGAGTTAGTGTAGCGAGACGGTTTTCATTTTTAGTGTAACAGCTCCACTGCACCATTTCGCTCCGTTTCGTTTTAGTTAAATACCTAGTCCTAAACGCAGATTATACATAAAGCCCATTTAAACATGATGCATGTTTGGCTTGTTGATACATCAATCCTATGCTACAAACATTAGCTTGGAAAAATAAAAAGATCACAAATGAAAAGATCATTCAAATAATAATATCTTCTCTCATAGCAGTGATTTTTAAATACACAGGATAATAGTTATTTGACAAATTAAAGCGAGATCCAACACAACTCCTATGAAACACTGGCTGCAGCCATGCTTCTGTTGTTTTCCTTATATTATTGTTTTCTCCTTCTGCAAACAAATGTTTGTGATGAGGTCCAGCTAGTCAGCATGCGGTCTGCCAAGAAACCGACAAACCAGGAAAAAAAACAGAGGTCCTATTAAAAAAACAAAGGCCACTAGGCAATTAGAACAACCTAAACTCCCTCACGCTGTGCAATCGCCTTCTTTTACTACAACCGTGTAATATTTACTCTCAACTGCTTCAAATTTGAACTTTTTCCTCCGAGCTTATTACCAAATATAAAGCAAAATGACATGGAAACAGTGCAAAATGAATCCAAGCTGTGCAATAGAGTCTACTTCTATGTTTTAGCATAAAAACGAGACGTTGATGGTAAAAACAGTACATGATTAAAAATGGATAACAAAAATCAATGCTGTGGTAAATAAAGCACGGACAGGAACTGCTGGGCGGAGGACAAGAGACATTCCCCCGCAAGACGAAAAAACAAAGGAATCATCAGGCGGCAGCGTCTGCTTCAATGTTTTGATGCAGCCCACGTCACTACAGGGTTTCTGCTGCTTTAATGGGGAGTCGGGGGCGACGGCGGGGTGTGCTTGGAGTGTGTCGCCTCACAGGGGCCCGAGCAGCCATCTGCCACCCTACTTCAGCCAGCCTGAGCCTGATCCTCAGCCCAGCCCAGCAGGCCTGCTGTCTCATCCCCTTAGAGGGGGGGGGCATGTAGCGACGGGATGGGGAGCTCCCCTGTAAGACCCTATGACCTGGTCCCCCACCCCGGCGGGGCAGACGGCACAGACAGACAGCGCCGTGTCTGCGCCCCGCCGCCTCCCCTGTCTCTCTTTTATCAGCCAGTAAAACCCCAGGGGCTGCTGGGGAGACATAGGCGATGGAGGAGAAAGAGATTGAGGGAGGGGAGGGGGGGGGGTTTGGTGAATGAACACAATAAGAGACTGACACAGACCACCCTGACCCCCCCCACCATGCAGATCTCTTTATTCCCCATGGACAAGCTGCTGACCTCTCCTCCCCCTCTTTTAATCTCTGCACCACCAAAGCCCGGTCAGCTCCCCGATTCTGTGTGGCCAAGCACGCCCCCCCCGCACCCCCGGCTCAGGACACTATACTCTGTGACTTCACCAACATGTAGTGTTGTCATTTTGTCACATGGATGTTTGGTAGCTTTCTGGAGGTTTGCCCCCATCCACCGCCACCTGTTTTATGAAATGTCAAGTTCAGTAGCGGCAAACGGTTAACAGTAAATCATCCAGGCAAGCAACAATGCAAAGGAATATTTTAAGTAGACTTTGGGCATGGGTGGGAGCCGGCTGCTAGGCTGTTGTGGTGAGCTTCTGGATGGTACGGTTGTAGTATTGTGTGGTGATGGCTTCCAGGGGGCTCCAGCGATGCGCATGCAGCTCGATGACCTCCATGAGGAGGGAGCGGGTCAGCTGAGACTCGCTCGGACTCAGCATCTTGTCCCTGACGGCTGCTAGGAGCTCCGTCATCATCTCAGGAAGCTGCTCCTCTAGCAGACGCCCTGTGCTCTGCAACTGGAGGACACAGGGAGAACGGGTAGAAGTTAAGAAAAATAAAACAGGAAAAAAACACAGTAGATAACAAAGAGAGACAATGTCTGGCACCTTGTTACTGTGAGCACACAGAGATTCACACACCCTGCAGCTATGGAGCTGTGTTTCTTAGCATCTGGGAACTGTTTGTAATTCAAAGCTCACTTACCTTTGCTCTTGCTGTTCCGTTATCCCAAGGCCTTTCCCTCTACTACTGAAGGATAGGTTCAACCTGTTTCAGCTGAGAGGCTTTCATAGCAACATAACCATTGTGGTTCTGAGAGTGCTGATATAACCCCAGATCCTTAGGATGTTTGGAGGATGTTCCTTTACGGTCTGATTTTTACATGTAATAGTATCAAAACGCAAACATAACAGCATTACACATCTATACTGAGAATATGAATGAAAATATCACTAAAAAGTAAATATAAAGTTAGGTGGCTACAATGAGAAGGGTTTCATGTTGGCTAAACGGGAAAATACTGTTTTTTTAGACAAATAAATCAGATTGTTTGGGATGGGTTCAATGCAGAGAGTGAATTTCTACACTATGAGATCAATGATATTCAATATTATTATTAAATAAACAAATGAACCAAGGTTGTCCCATTGATCCTTAATAATCTAAATTGTGTTCAGCCTCCTAATGCTCAATTACTGGAATAACTGTTAGAAACTGATCTAGAAACTGTTTTTGCTTCCTTTTTTTTAATATCTGAGTTGGATTAGTTTTATATTTTTAGGTGTCATGGTGCTGGGAGGTTAAAGTTTCTCCCGTCTTTGCAGCTGTATCCAACTGTCCAGTTGTTATTTAAGAGCATTCCCATATCATGATGCTGCCACTGCCATGTTTTAAGGGATGGTTTGTTAAGAGTGAAGCTGAACTGCTAGTTTTGTTTTAAATCCAATCCAATCTAATCTGAAAAGGGCTGCAGAATGGAACATTAATTCAGTTAAAGGATGGCTTGGAACTCACCGGCCGTTACTTAAACATCCCCTTCTTGTGAACTTTTATACTTTGCATCTCAAACTCCATACCATATGTTACCATAGATGCCAACTTTAATGGCAGCTTGGCTGATGCACCGTTGTGACAGTCATAGACCGAACAGTGCCATTTACATTTTGCTCTGCTTTATGTGATATTTAACGTGCTAATAACAAAACACAGTTTGTCTTAGAAATATGCCAAAATGTAAAAAAAAGTGGAAGGATTATGAATAGATTACCATTATACTATTTATCAAACACAAAAGGCTTAATAGTTTCCATTTTATCTAATTTCCTTCTCTTGTTGAAGACAGTTTGGTCTTTAAAGTTACAAGCTATAAAACAAGCTGGTGCTTGAAAAAAAGCCATTTTTTTGGTTTTCTATCTTTATGTATAAAATTAGGTGCTTCTTCTGAGACCAACTGGACACTCAGAGAACAGCTTTGCTAAGCGAGGACATTCCTCTGTCTTTTTTAAATGTGTGCTTGTGTGTGGTCCATACCTCCAAGGAGCAACAAAGGACCGCATCCTCTTTAACATCTGTTGACTCAAGCAGCTATAAAAAAAGAGCAAAACAAAAACAAAAATATTAGGATGATAATTAGAAGATCTAACAACTACATAACGACATTCAGTCTAATGCAGGATACTATGATTTAGATCTAAATCCATCTGTCTGCAGACCTAGTCCCACTTGTAAGCATTTTTAGCTGGTTGAAGGAAGGCCGCTTTTCCATTGCCTACAAGAAGGACGTCTTCAGCTGTTTGAGACACATTTGTGAGACTCATTGTGTGAAACGTAATAAAGCCCACCCATCACTCTTATAAGAAAACGCTATTTTAAAACTACAGCTAGCAAGCTATAAGCAGCAGGTCTGTTAGACGGCTAAATGCATGCTGGCTATCTAAGGCAAATGCATTATGGAGCTAATCTCAGCTACTTGTGTTATTCTAGAAACTCTATTAGCCAGACGCTAATAAAAGAGTAACATTCTGCATAAAAAGCAGCTTTACTTTAAAACTACAGTTACATTTTCAGTATTCATTACATTTTCCTTTAACAATTTATCAATAAAATAAATCTATACATAATATTGTATTAAAATCAGTTAAACAATCAATGCATTAGGTCTGTTTTGCAATCGTAGAAATAATAGTTTTTCTGTGTTAGGTAAAAAAAACTGGATCATGTTTCACTCTTAGGTCCCAAATTATTCATTTGGGTTTAGAGGGTTTAATTTTTTTAATTGTCTGACTGATGTTAAATGTTAGACTCTGATCTTTCAGACAGAGGTAAAAACAAATATGTCTGGAATAGTAGGAGTGTATAAACGTACTCATAGTGCAGTAAAGTAATATGTTGTGTTTATGGCAGGCTTGTTCGGGGTCAAGTCTATTAAAATCATTTTAGCTGGAGATTTAGAAATGATTCAGATAAAATACAGCTTTAAGTAAAAGTTTAAAAGACGATAAAGTTTGGTTCTAGTTTCTAAAATAAATTAACAATGGAGAATCCAAAAGACATAAAAACACTGACATAAAGCTTGAACCTTCATAAGTCTGAAAGACGAAGGAGGAATAAAAAAAGGCCTGCTCCTAACTGACGTGTCGATCTACATTTAGTGGAAGCTGGGCTCTTATTTCCCTCTCTGCAACTTTCTCGCTGCTTCACCTATCATTCAGGCCCAGCAGTTGAACAGACGTCAGCTCCTCAGTATGCTAAGACAGGCGTGGTGACAGAGAGGCTGTTTGAAGTAGGAACTCCAGTCCTGGCGTTTCCACAGTGGGGAAAGTAAGTGACAAGCTGGAGGAGCTCATAATGAGTTCTCAGGGGAGCTCAATTCAGATCCCCCCCCCACCAAATACTGTTAAAATGATCTAATCAAAGTCATTCCTCTTTAGCTCTCCAGCTCTGCTCTATTCACAGCTTTTTATTCTCTCTCACAGCACAGTAATATACATTTATGACCACATGAACATTTCCTTTTAAGCAGAAGATCATCATGTTTCTTTGCAGGATCAGCAAAGAAACAGATGCACAATAATTTCCTGCAGATATTGGACCAGTGATAAGCAAAAAAAAAAAAAAAAAAAAAAAAAAAGGAACATGCAACCTTCGATCCTCTGATAACTCCGACCATCAAACCACACACTTAAATACATTCAAATTACTTTATATAAAGACCTGCCATCATAATGCTGAAAATACACACAGACCTGTTGCTTTTCTCCCGATGGAATAATAAACTAAAAATTCGACTGAAACCATCCTCCCAGTTGTTGCATAGCAACTGGGAGTCTATCTTCAGGATTAGCACCACTTGTAGTTACAGTTAATTTTATTACAGTATTACTGTTGCAATGATGCTGTCTCACTATCTGCTAACCAAATAAGCCTACATATACACCAGAGTCTATAATAATTTGCCTGTGTGGGCATCTGTAGGTTTATATAGCTTCTAGGCAAACAAAAAAAAAGCATGCTGGTGTGGAAATGCAAACCAAGTTCCTATTATATGAGAGTTGTATAGTAGGAGAAAAAAAAAAAAAGATCTTTTTAGTGAAACAAGTTCGCTGCTACCTGCTCTATAACTGTGGACTTTTAGACGGGGCACATCTCATGGTTTATGGCAGCTTTTTAGATTGAAGTCATTTTATCTAAAGCAACTCCTATAAACAAGGACATTCACAAACTCAAGATGAGCTTTAAAGCTGAAAAGGAACTATTTTAAACTGTTTTACTGTGCTAGGTGAAGGAACTTATAAAAACGTAACAGCGATGAGTGTAAGTAACTGAACTCACGTAGAAACCTCATAAACTACAGCAATGTAATAAAATATTAAGATCTGTTAGCGATTTATAGATTGTTAGTCGAGGAAAAGAATTAATCATTTACCAAACCTTTCATGAGACATGCATGCATGCATTTTTTCACTTTTTTCACTGTTAGTTAATTTTACCTTGCCCTTGTAGAAAAGAAGTGGAAGGGTGCTGGAAAGCTTTTATTCCTGGCATCAAAAAAAAAGCACTCCCACTCACACGAGTGGTGACTTCAAAGCTTGCAGCTCTGCAGCTAAAACAGTGATTAAAGCAGCCGTGTTCAGTTACTGGTAGATCCGCTTGTAAAGCGTGACCTTTTTCCACTTTGTTGGGATCATTTCTGTCTAACTTGTTAAGGACAGACACACAGGGGTGAATAGTGTCTCAGTTGACTTGCTGGGAAGGTTTAGCTGCAATGCCATGGCTGACTAAAAAGGAGTGACAGTGACTAAGGGTAAGTCACTAAGGTTTATAATTTGAAGTTCTTACGCCGGCTGAAGACAATGGTTGTTTATTCAACTGGCAAAAGGGGGAAACTTTGATGAAAAAATAATCTGTAAATGTATTTCCATAGATTCTCTATTAGTTTCGGTCTGGACTTTGACTGGGCCATTCTAACACACAAACACACTTGATCTAGGCTATTCCTTTGGACAGCCGGCTGTATGTTTGAGATTGTTGTCCTGGAAGGTACCTGTTACAGTGTCAAGATTTACAGGTTAGTCATTTATTTAGTTCCGTTTAGTCTCACCCGTGCAGAATGATGCTGCCATCCCCATGTGTCACACCTCGCAGAGTGCATTATTAGAGATGTCCAACATTTTGGATTTAGACCAAAAAAGGTAATTTTACACTCATCTAGCCAAAGCAGTTTGTCTGCTGCTCCGACTACACAGCTCACAGATAAAAAGCTTATCACTTAAGGTAGTAAGCTATTTCTTAGTATGTTTTCAACTCTGTCAGTTTTTCCAGCGCTAACTCTGCATTAAAATACTCCAGATGCAATGCATCATTTTCCTTCTGTATCACTATCATATACCACTTCCTGTGGGTCTATGAGATAAAATCCCAATACAACAGATTGAAGTCTGCGGTTGCATCATGACAAAATATGGAAGAGTTTAAGCGGTTTTGCAAGACGCTGGTCGTGCAGGAAGATGTGTGGAAGGCAAACAAGCACTGTGGTTCTAACTGAACTCTGACGCCCACGAAAACGGATCAAATTAAAGGCAATAGTTCTGGGAAAAAGCCTGAAATCCACGGCATGAATAGATGCATGAACACCCACATGTGTTTTCTTTTCTTTTACAATGAGAGTGAAGGATCTACGTACGTTACTTCTAATGCTTTAAACTGTTGGTATGCATGTGGGTTTCTGACTAGTTACCACACCTTTAGTTGAGCAGCAGAGTCTTTTAACAAGCTGAGATAATGCCCTGGGCATACCTACGGACGGGGTGTGGACGGATGGATCGCTGTGTCAGAGACTGGGTGTTTGAAGTGCTAGACTGCTAGAGGTGTTAATGCGGGTGCTATAACTCACCTATACGCGTCTGTGTTATTCCCTTGTAGTTGGATGATGCAATTTAAAAGCATTTACACAAGTGGATTCTCAGATCTTGTCTGTCTCTGCCTTTGTTTTCTATCTGTCGCAGCGTAAGCAAACTTCCTCTACACTAACTGTCAATCTGACCACAGTCTCCTGCATTTCCTCCTTGCCGCCCACTCACTTCCCCCTTTCAATACCCAGGCTGTCGTAAACCTCTGCTGTATCATATCTTAGTTTGCTGTGGCTTCTCGTTATGGTTTCTATGGTGACCAGCAGAAAGTTCAACCAGCTGGTGGGGACATAACCCAGGGTCATGCATTTTTTTTTTAACTGGAATAATTGTGTCTCCATCGTTTGCACCTCTAACCGAACCACAATGCGGTGTCTGGAGTCTAGACCGCGTCTGGTCGCAAAACAGGAAACCAGACGGCAGAGACGGCAACGAGCAAAAAAAGGCGAAGGTGCTTCCTCCTGCAGAGCGTGGACGAGTTGGCACGGGTTGGTGCCATTCGTTGCTGCAACCTGAACCTGTTTGAATACAAACCTCTCGTAAACATGTGAAGATGGGGCACACCAGAACCCTGAAAGGCTGGCCGGAGCTGCTCCTCATGGTGCTGAACACCTCGCATAGGAAGGTGATGAAACCCAACCAGTGCTCCACATCCGTCTGCTGCAGCTCCTCACGACGGGAGAAGTCTCTCTGAGGGAGAGAAAGAAAAAAGAACAAAGCATCTTTTAGCTTAGAAAAATGCCAAGCATGTGAAGCTTCTGTGATGGCGTTACACAACGTGTCAGCTAGCAGGTGGATAAACAGCGCACAGGAGTGATCTTTACCTTTTCAGGCTAATAATCACTGTTAACATCTTTCACATCCCTCTGATGAAAGTTGTGGAAGCTGGCAAACACATTAACCCTGTGTCCAACAGTACTTCAAGCCAAAAAAAACCTTTGACAACCACATTAAAAAGATCCTTTTTTTTGCTCATCTCCAAAGTGAGAACGGTGAAGTGTGTCAGAGCTGTGAAAGTGTCGAAGTTAATACAGGTTAATGCTTCATGCGCTTACATATAAAGTTGTTGCCGCACAGGTTAAACTGAACCTTTATTAACAGGCAGCGCCAGGGCTTCCTTTTTTTTCTCCCTCACTGAGGTATCTGTAAGGGGGCTTTAGAAGTATAATCTAGATAAGTAAAGTAAAATCTTAGCAGCAGCAAATCTCACTGAATAAAAGCTGGAAAAATTGCACCTTTAATTTGAGTCCATTTATTCTGTGGGGGGAAAAAATCCTGCTGTAAGCGATTTCTGTTCCTGTTAGGAGACATCGGATGAAATGAGCTTGTAGTTTTCAAGGGTTTATAATGCTGTGTGTCTGACAAAGTGCATTGGAAAAGCAACGGGTTCAAAGTGAAGTTGTTCTGATTCTGATACCAGTATCTGAAATGTCTCTTTTACTGCCGGAAATGCTGGCATCGGTATCAGCAAACATTTGAATTCAGGCATTGATCCGATACATGGAATTTAAATAGAAATGTACTATGATAGTCATATCACAGTCATGTAGGCGTAGCATGATTATCTATAGTTTATTGTTACATACTGGTATTGGTACTCAGCATCGGCTGATACTCATAGAACAAGCATCATATCAGAATCGTATCGGGAAAGAATAAAAACATTTCGAAACATCTATAGTCCAAAGTATAACCCATCTTTTACCTTAATTCATATCAAATCTTTATAACTGAATTCTCACAATTAGGCAGGCTGACTTTTCTCAAGCAAAATAGAGCTACCCAACTATGTTTTTCCTGTTACAATAAATAGGTATAAGAAATCCCTCATAATTATCCATTACAAGCCCAAAGAAAGTATGATGTATTGTAAAGTTAGAGCTTAAAATAAACGCTTTTATCCCTACTGAAGAAATGTATATAAAATATACATCTACATCTGTGATTTTAAGCGACTCTGATTATTTATTTGAAAGCTATTGTACACATATTTACGAGGACTTGTGGAGTAGAATAAATGGAATAGCCTCAGTTTGTTCTCATACAGCTCTGATGGATCCAAAGGAAAGAAATCTTTCTACAACAGTAAACATGAAAACAGAGAAGCGTAGCATCAGCTGTGTTTACTGGGGGAGGTCTTTAATAGGTTTAACAGTGGCAGTGTTTAGGCCCAAACTAAACCTTCCTCTGAATAAACAGAGCAGCCCCGCTAATTGGCCCCATATTGAGATCCGGGGGTCTAATGGCAACAACATTAATGAAAGCCTTCATGAGCCCACTTATGACATTTAAAATGTTTTATCACAAAAAAGCCAAAATGTCAAAGGCGAGCGGGGGGTCTTTGCTGGCTGGGAAACAGAAATTAAAGAGAGATAAAAGAGAAGAAAAGACCACACAAATGTGATGGAAGTAGGAGAAATGCCTTTAAAAGGAGGTGGAATAATCTAGACAGAATTCCACATGTTTCAGACCTGGATAAAAATCTAAACTTTTAAATATATGTTTTTAGACATAATAAATCTCTTATCCAGAAGAAATCTAAGTAAAAGAAATACAAACAGCAGCAGGTGGTTAACTTTCTGATGGGAAGGAGGAGAAATGGGGAGGCATCAGTCTGTACTGTAATGGGTGACAGAGGTGAGAAGACGTGGGAACATGGGAATAGAGAGCTCATGAGGGAGGAAATGAAAGGAGGGAGTGGTAAAGGATGCTACGCTTCAGAGGATGTTTTCATCCAGGATGCAGGACTGGAGCTGTGCAGTAAAGAGACGGGATGGAAGGTGAAGAGGAAGCAGGCCATCCGCTCCCCCAGGGAGTTTAGATTATTTAACTTTGTCTATTGAGATGTACAGATGTGAGGCACGCTGAGCCGGCCAATAGAGTGAGCCGCAACCAACACTTAAATACTTTGTAAAACGCAAACAATTCCTGCATAATCAAGGGCAACAATGTCCTGAAAATCAAGAAAACAATCTAAGAAGAACTGGATAGAAATACTAGAGTTACTAAAGCAAAAAGATGCAATATCATAAAAAAAATTAATCATGTAAATCGCTGCATTATGAAGCATAAAAGTTTGGCCACGATTCAATTATCCAAGAGTTGAACAAAATTCCAAAAGAAACCTTGTTTTCCAAAATGAAACCATAACTAACAAGATCCCCTGAGATCGTTCACACAGGCTGCAGAAACAGCAGAAGAGATTTAATTTTGCAACAAGAAGTCGATTCACTGTGAGGTAATGAAACCAGTAGCTCACCGCCGTGTTACCTACCAAACACAGCCAGAATCATTATAGAGAAATAAATCTCCAGGGCAGGAGGTTTTCTTCGACTCTAAAAGATGCTCTTACCTGAAGCATGTTGAGCAGCAGCGATCTGAACTTGGTTCCCTCCACCATAAACAGAGCCATCTTGTCGCAGAGTCTGGCTGCCGTTGCAGCGAAGCTTCGGTCAGACACGGCCTTGGAGTAAATGGCTCCAACCACCTGAGCCAGCGACTCCTCAGACCGGGCCGAGCTCTGCGCCTCCTCCATGAAGGATGCTAGCTGCTGTTCCACGCCGCTGCTGTTGCTCCTCATGCTGTTGAGAAGGTCCACCAGCCGATCCATGTTCTGGGGTCGGGACTGGGACTCCTCTGCATGGATCTCCTCCTGCAGAGAAGGCAATGTTCATATTTGGCGTCAGATTCCAGACTCAGTTCTTTGAAATTTTCTAAATGTTTCACAAAACTTCATAAGGAATTTAAGACTGATATTTGAATCGCAGGCGTCACACCAATTAACAGGTTAATGGGATTGATGGGTAAAAGTTAATTGAGTAACACCATTTCAATGCATTTCAATGGCAGTGGAGGAATCTGGCAGATTAACCAAAAAGTTTTTGAAGGGAAGACTTTTTAATATGTGTTACTGTGGCAGAATTTAGATTTCTTCTCTTCTTTTCTAAGCAGAAAAAGGGCCGAAAACAAATCTGATATAACTGAGTGGAAAATAAATTATCAGGTACATTTTAATCAAAAGCTGCAAAACACCCAGAAAAGTTGCATTGAATTATTGTATTTTCTTAAATGAATCATCTGGTTGTTGTCAAAAGGCACAAAGTGTTTTGCCAGTTCATCAGTTAACTAAAAGGTAGAAGCCACAAAGAGCTGTTAAATAAATGCTACCCCCTCCCCCTTAGGGAGCAAACAGACAGTCCTTCTGTGTGACTGCAGAATAAAACACCTGTACAGTTAAATGAAGCCACAGGGTGAAAGACAAGCGTCTGTGTGATAATGAAGCTACTCGTCTTTTACAGGTGATAGTGAAACCTATGTTAGCATGTGCCCACATAGATCAGCCCACATAGATCAGGCCCTAGCTGCCCTGATAGAGAGTGACAGACACTAAGCAGCTTTTCGTTACCTTGTCTTTTAGCCGCCTCCTCAGCCTCTCCTTTGATGACTGCAGTAGACTGACTTTTGGCCGCTCTGTCAGGCCATCGCTTGCCTTCCCACTTGGCTGAATGTTAAGGACTTCCTTACTTACTGTAGGGTCTAGGAGAGCTGTTGCACTGGGTGAGGGGGCAGATCTGGGTGAATTAATGGGACTTCTGTTGTTGCAGTCCTGAGCTTGTCTGATCTGCTCGTCGCCCACTCTCACATTCTCAGTTTCTTTGGTTGTTCTTGGCGATGCCTCTTTATCGCCTACAGTGTTTGTCTCTCCATGCCCCTGGCCTTTCTGATTGTGGTGCCAACGCCGGTTCTGGCTGTAACCGTGATGCTGTGGTCCACCTTGGCGAGGCCCAGCATGTCCTCCTTGGTGCTGGCGAGGTGGTCGACCAGCATTGTGGTGTCTGTATTCTCCCTGATCATTTAAATTTAACTCTTGCTGGTTTGGGGACTGCTGGTGACTTTGATCCCTCTGCCTCTGTGGAGACTGTGGCTGTATCTGTTGAGACTGGTTCTTCCCCCCTCCTCCTCCTCCCTGAGGTCGCTGCTGCCTCCTGAAATTAAACCAGGTTTGAGTTAGCGCCTTCATGATGTCACAGGGATCACAAGTCTACACCCAGGTGCCCGACAAATTACTTAAACAGCCATTTACAAACATTAATCAACCTGCAACACTCAATAGAAGTATTGCTTACTGAACTAGAAGCTATAAACTCAAAAGCTCACATTCTGCTTACATGAGGATGAACAGTCTGTGTGTTTTTTCCTGTCCTGCATCGCTGTGGTGTTTGTGCTGTTCTGGCTCTGGTCTACAAACCAGACATATGGTCCAGGGGATTAGATCCACTCTGAGGTCGCAGCTTATCGTCTACCACAGCTTGTGAACTTGCACAAACTTAACCAACCAACCTTTTTTAGCAAAAACTGACAAAGGCAGGAAAAAAAATGTTTTGTTGACTAATAACATGTTGCAGAATTAGTATGCATGAACAAAATTTAAGTGTTAAAAAGGTAAAGAAGTTAAATTGGTCATTAGGACACGTTTACTAAGCATGAAATTAACAAGTCAACATTTGCCAAATGAAACCATCATGGGCATCCCATTCAATGAATGTAGGTGTTTTTCTATCTTTATAGGTCAGGACATAGCTAAGAGGAAATACCCAAGAGCATTAATGTGCCTTAATCTATCAAGAAGGCGATGATTAAAAAGATCAAACCTCATCAGCCTAATTTTGGCTCAGCAATTCTCAAACATGAGGAACTATCTATATGCCAGCAGGTTGTTTAGAATAAATGTTGTCACTATCACAGATTTAAACCTGTGGAGTTTGGTGAGACCTAGAGGGGTTGATGGTAGAACCACAACCTTTGGTTTAGTGAGACTAATAATAAGCTGTTCAGCAACACTTCAGGTTCACCAGCAGCAAAGTCGAAAGCAACCGGAAGCATGTAGATAATTATTACGATTTTAAATAAAAACCTGGTGGCCTTTGCCCAAAAAAAACAAGCAGGACATTGCTGCATCTTTCCGGAAGAAAAGCAGAAGAAAAAAATTAACACAGTAATTGTTCATCAGACTAAGTTTTAATACCCTTTTAACGTGGTTTGTGGTTAATTTTTGATACAGATAATCCTCTGACGTGTCTTCATTTTATTTCCCACCTAGGTCCCTTAAACATCAAACTTCTATAAACATCAACACATTTTCTCTCATATGCTATTGATAACTTTAGTCCTCATACATAATTCAATTTTATTAAGTTTATCCACAAAGGACCAATTCACAGCACCTCCAAGAAGCAGTTCGATCAAATCATACATACAGACTGGTTAAAATGAGGGCTTGACAAAATAATTATATTTGCAGTACAATTGTAGTTTATCAGAATGCAATTGTCGAATTGCAGAGGCAGTCAATTTGGTAACATTTAACAAGAGTAAGACACCGACTTTCTCTCTCCAAACCTTTAGGTGGTGGTAATACCCTTAGAGTGGGTTTGCCACCACAAGGAGAGTTGCAGCTACTATGCAGGTCAAAAAGCATACTAGCAGAAGAAGCACTTTTCCATGCAAAAGTATCAGTAAAGTCACAACCGACTTTGGACAAATAAGCTTTCAAGGTCGTGGAAACAACAAAACCCTGAAATGAAACATCTACAGTTAGTGCAGAGAAAATCGAAATAAAATCTAAATTTTGGTACAAAATACAATAAAAATAGTATTTAGATTTGTGGAGAAATAAATTTATTAAGCCCCAGTTAAGGGTTTTCTATCTAAGAAGACCCAGCCGATTGCATCAGGTCATTCACTATGCCACAGCACAAAACCTTTCCATTTCTTTTGCAATGTAAAAAAAAAAAAAATAATAATAATAATAAAAAAAATATATATATATATATATATATATTTTTTTTTTTAAAAGGCAAAAAAAAATGCCCATAAGATTATGGTCTTATAAAAAAGAATCAGAGAAAAAAATGAAAAGGTGGAAAAAAATAAATATTCAAGAAAAGCAATTTTTTTTATTTGTTTATTTTAAAATAAGGATGACAGAAAAAACCTTTCACACTCACAATTACCTTAAAGTCGTAGGGAAACTACTGTTCCAACTGTGGCATTTCCGAATTCTCCTGAGCTGTGCCCGACTTTACACGAGTGAATAAAGTGAATGTGATTGGTTGTTTACTAAGGGGGCGGGATTTTTGTGGCGGGAGGTTCGCAAGCTTTTTGGTTGTGGCCGGTGTCTCAGGAGCATCGTGCTAGATTACCAGTTAGCAACTTAGTGCTAGTAGGTTCCCAATGGGAAATTCCATTGGGACCAAGTAGCACTAATTTGGTGACTTAGAAATGACACTGTCAAGGAACGCTATGGACAGTGGAAACATGTAAGAGGAGGAGAGTTTTGTGTCAGAGGTCGTGGATGAGTCTCTTGCATCATACATTTTTTATTTAGAGGAGGAAAGTGGGGACGAAGATGTTTCGAAGATGACGCCAGGGTGGCAGAAGCTTTGTTTGGTGTAGAAGGCTTACAGCCGTACATGTTTGAGCCCTTGCCTCGCTGCCAGTTCTGTTAGCTCTGCGCCTGCCGAAGACACAGACGTCCATCCCCAAGAACACTGGGACGGAACTAAATGGGAAAGTAAATGATTCTTATTTCTTATTTCAACCGTTGTGTATATATATAACCTGGGACATATGAATCAAGATGCTATGACCGAAAAAATTATATTGACAGATGACCGTTGATATATGATTGGCAGGATTTAGGTGTACAAGCTGACGTATAACTAACTGGCCTACATAACATAACGAAAAAAACCCCACAGATTTTAAAATAGGATTTTTTTAAAAATAAAAATCTCAAACTTTCAGGACAATATGGTCTGTTAAAGAATACATTTATATACATGTTTAAGCCAGAATGATTTGACATCCAAATATACTTCCTTATGACTTTATATCTTTTTCCTTTTAACTTGCCTTGATCATTGTTGATATCCTTTAGTTTTTACCTTCCTATATCAGAAGAAACGCCCAAGGTCCAACTGTTTTAAAGGACCATTAATTTAAAACAAAGGGAAAACAAGCCTTTAGAATCTGAATGGTAAGGCTAGCGGCCACAAATAACATTTTGATCTGGTTTTCGATACAATAATTTAAATAGCCAACATTTGTAAAGATAAAAGCAGCTAAACACTGCACCTAAAACATAATGTTACATCATGCTGATTTTTCTAAAACATTTGCCAAAATATTATAAAAAACATAAAATATGCATTCCATAAATTTGATTTATTGAGAAAGTAAAAAGACAGTCAATACAAAATGCGTTTAATTTCTCCCTAAATAAAGACTTTAGCTATCAGCACTTACACACTAAAAGATTGTTTATGCAATTTAAAATGGCAGAGCTTAAAACCTCACTGCAGTCTGGAGTAAGTCTGTTTTTTTCATTCCACTTATAAGACTTTTTTTTTCTATTTGTTTTATAAAGATGTACAAAGTACAAGGAAAAAAGCATGTAGAGAAAAGTTGAATCTGTAACCCTGAGCTGTGTAAACCTTGTGGGAGGCTGGAAGAAGTGAACACCTCTGTTTTTCAACACATCCTCAGTGCCAGCCACTTTAGTTTCTCACTCCTTACAGAAAGAGTAAAAGTTTTGGTTTGCAACTTTTAGACTGCCTAAATATTTTTGTCATAGAATAAAAACTGAAAGGAAAACCCTGACATTTTGGAGAATCTGTAACCCTGAGCTGTGTAAACCTTGTGGGAGGCTGGAAGAAGTGAACACCTCTGTTTTTCTACACATCCTCGGTGCCAGCCACTTTAGTTTCTCACTCCTTACAGAAAGAGTAAAAGTTTTGGTTTGCAACTTTTAGACTGCCTAAATATTTTTGTCATAGAATAAAAACTGAAAGGAAAACCCTGACATTTTGGAGACTGTTTAACAAAAATCGAATATAAAAATATGAATATTGTGCACTTACACACAGCAGACTTTAGCTTTAGTCATCATTTGTAAAAGATTTATTTTAAACGTAATCAAAAGATGGCAAACCAACCTTGGAAGTAATGTTAAAAGTTAACTTTCTTAATGTTCCCTCAGGCAAGAAAGCCAGGTTTAGACACCCATAATTGGTAAGGCTAGTGTGCTGCTTTAGCAAACCAGGTAAAGTCTAAGGTGCTGCGGATAAGCTGGTCTTTGCAGGCATTAAAAGATTTATGACAGAGATAAAATAAACCAAGAATATAGTATTAAGCAGAAGGTATGGTTATTCCTTTTTTATAAGCCTATATTACAGGGTAATGAAAGAAAATAGCAGTTATTTACATTTCATGTCTTCTCAAACGTCCAGTCTATTGGACCAGGTTCTGTTGGAGTCATTTCTTTCCACTGTCACCACATGTTTGCTCAATGTGAGGGATGAAATTTGACTTCCTTGGTTCCTTTTTAATTTGCTTTACAGTTTTACAGTAAAGAAATTGAAACAGTTCTAACATTTAAATAAAAATATATATATTAATCTGTGTATGAAGTTGGATTAATTCAATTATATATTTATGTATATATCCTGGATCTGATTTCCATGTGTATAAAGAACCTTGAAATGTTATATAAACAGATTGAAATAAACTATTTCAACCCTTATAGATTGAGGTTGTGGTGTAGAGGAATTATCTAATTTCAAACTTTTTTACCTTCGAATATCAAACAATCTAAATAAAAAAATTATTACTAAGATCTGACTGAATCTTTCAGGGGTGATGATATCTATAAGTTAACATAATCCCTTAAATGACAGGTAATGGACATTTGTCCAGTGTTATCAGCTCTCTGAACTACTTAGCTTTCACAATGATTTGAATAACTCTGCGATAGATTTTTATCAGGAATTAAAGCTTAAAACTGATAGTTCTTATTTGTTGGCAATATGTTGGCAATGAAATGTAAAGTAATGCTTAAACATGCTTTCTCAAAAAAAAATCTTATTGGGTTGCTAAATCTGTTTTTTAGTCATCGTTTTCCAAGCGTTTTCATGTTTAATAAAATCTAACCACTTCAGTGTGTAACTGGTAAATAGAAACCATAAAAAGCTTTTCAGATTTTCCTTTTTTCCACATCCACAGTGTGAGTTAAAGGTCATGGCTAAAACCTTATTAACAAAATTATTCTTTTTTTCAAAAAGAATACGTCCACAAGATGTATTACTGTGGTACAGAATAAAAGCATTTAAAAGGGATAAAAATAATAATTTTATATATTTCAGGAGTCAAAAAAATGTAAATATTTATTTTTGGTAATCAACATTAAAACATTTCGGCACCAATAGGCGTAGTAGGTTGAAGTGTTGTGGGACGTAACTCAGGTGTTGCCGATAAGAGCTGGGAAATTGCTTTGTTTCTGTTACATCTCTCAGATTCAAGCAGACAAAAAAAAATTCTGATGTAAATAAAAAAAAATTAAATCCTCATTTAAAATCTATGATATAATAATGATCATTAGATTAAATGTATAAATGACAACACAAGGAATGACATTAAGGGTAGTAAGTAAATAAGAGGAGTGTTTATTGTCTAAATAACTGTAACAGGAAATGCTTTTATTTCTATATACTCTAGATAAGTGGAACAAAAGTTACTTTTATCTTTAATATTTTCATCTGGCTGTGTCCTTCTACCTTTGCAGAGAGAATGTTGGAGGCCAGTTATGCTCACAATGTTCTTAAATGGTCCAAAGTCATTTATCACCTCTATCAATTTGAAAGACATTTCTATGTTTATAATTAATAAGCTACAGCTAACATAACGAGATTGCCATGAGCCCATAAACTGCATCACCACTGGTCAATAATCAGGCTCACCCCTTTATACTAAAGCCTGCTTGGCAGCTGCAGTCTGTAGCTCCCATACCTGCTTCATTAAACTCAGTAAATTACAAGAAAACAACCGTTTTCAAGTCGAGTCTTAATTCTACAGCGCACAATTCTAAGTGGAGTCTGAATATTTTTGTTTTCTTGAGATACAATATCAAACTTGAGTTGCCATTCCTGCAAACAAACAGTCTTCCTATTTGATTCAAAAGGTTTACAGAGAGACCTTTTGATGTTTCCGCAGAAACCATAAGTGATAGCAAATACTTTGCAAAGGACACTCCTAGAACTACTGACTATGACAGCTCTGATAAATTCACAGGATCATGCCAGTTGCTGTTAATTTAGGCTCAGATGTAATAAACCACCCTCCTTATCTACTGATAATGTGAGAGGGGTTAGAGCAGGCACAATAAAAAGTTAATCATGTTTCATGACTGTGACCTCAACTGTGGTTTGAGTGCTGATCATCTATCAGCCATTACTGTCTGAGAGATGACTGCATTTATCATAAATGATGGAGCCACTGATGGAATTTCATCCCACAATACGTTATTCATATGTGATTATACATCTAATCAAATAAAAATAATTTACCATTTTCAATTGATCATTTGAATGGTATTTCTCAGGCCTTTATTATTTTTTTATATTGCTGGATTCTGACCTACTTCTTCCATTTGATAGACATAAGCCACATGCTTTACAAACAACTGCCATAACAGTATTTAAAACTGATAAATAAGAGCATTATTGTGTGGAAGAACAAACATAAAACTTGGCTGTCAAGGTCTTTACAAAAAGAAAAAAAAAAATCTGAAAAGTGTGGAGTGGCTTTGCTTTCAGATCCCTAAGTCAGTTGTTCACAGCCATATTTTTTTGTGAATAGCCAGTTGCAGAATGTCTTTAGTTGCTATTCATGTACTTGAAAAGTAGCTACATATTCTTTTTCAAGTCTTTTCACAAATTCTTAGCTTTAAACACCTAGATACTCTCTTTATTGCTATTTTTTCTCTGGTCTGGTAAGTCCCTCTTCATGATGCTGCTTAGGTAGCTAAAGTTCTCTGGAAAATCACTAAGATCAACACAAAAAAAGCTGCAAAAAACACTAAGAGGTTTAAGTATTTCTGAAAGTTACATTACCTTTCGTGGTCTTACTTAAGTTGTCACTAACCTGGCTGAGACTTGTCGTTTCTCCCCTGGACCGGTAGGCAGGAGTACAGTTAACTGCTCTCGGGTGAAGTGATCAAATGTTCTACAAGCAGGAAAGAGGGGTATGCCGAAATGCAGATGATTGGAAGGATGAAAAAAATCAGAAGTGGAGTGAAGAAAAAGTGAAATTTTAAGGTAACGGGAGAATTTACATGGGAGGCAAATAGGAGAAAACCAGAGAGTAAAGGAGGGCAAAAAGCAAAGCAAAAAAGGAAACAAAAACAAAACTAGAGGTTGGTAAGGTCACACAAAACAGTGAGTCTACAGGAATGCTATGTAAAGGATGAAATGAACTTAGAGACGTGGTCATGGGGGGGTATGATTAAAAATGATCAATCATGACTTTTACTGTGTTCAAGAGGAGGATTCATAGAACCACTGGTTGACCCAGACAAGAGAATCGATTGACCTGGGGGAAGAGATGTCTGCAGGCCAGACAGACAGTCAATAACTTGGCCGAGGCTCTACACAGGCCACACAGCACCGACTTAATGCACTGTAGGGAGAGAGGTTTCAGCTGCCTGATTGAACATTTGCATTATTAAATTCTAAGATTTTTGAAGGAAACATTGATGTGGGTGCATGCATGCAGGCAGAAATTATATTGATCACACATAATATCTTTGAAAAATTACTGATAGAAATGAAGCTCAGAAAAGCTGATCTTTTATTGGATGAGCTTGGAAAACAAAGAGGGAACGATAATTTGTACAAAAGTTTGAATGTGTTGATGAACTAAGCCATAGTGAGACAGATTACATGTATTGAAGTAGTGTGGAGCAGAACAGGATCCAAAATATTGCTTCTGTCAGTGAGCCCCAGGGCAGCTGAGGCTACAATGTAGCATACCAACATCAGTGTGTAAACATGAATGAATGTAGTGTAAAGCGCTTTGCTGTGGCAACTGGTAAAGCTCTTATACAGGTACATTCCATTTAATATTTAAAGAAAGGTTAAAAAACAAAATCACATTTAAGACATCAAGAATAAATTTAATTCTAAATTAAAGAACTTGGGGTTTAAAGACAACATCCAGACAAATGGGGTCATCAGAGATATCAGCTAAGCCAAGGATGAGGTGTATTTCATCCTCCTACTGTGATAATTGATTCAATTAATATATACGATTTCACATTACTTAAACTTTCTGACAACACAACCTCAAATTTCAACATTCATTATTTGTGCATAACTATTAAATGGAAGTAAAACAATATCAGATTTTTGACCTTTTTACAATTAAAGTCTAAGACACACGGCTTGCCTCAGTTATTAAGAGGCTCCATTAGAACAGCTTCAAACAGAACAACCCCAAACATAAAACAGAAAAATCCAATGTGCATAGCTGGTAGACAAACCTTAAAGGCCCTAAATGAAGTGAAAAGTGATGCAACAAAACTACAGAACCAGAAAAACAATCCACCACTATGTAATGAACTAAAGTTAATTAACAGATAACTGCCAAAAAAATGTTTTTTTAATAAGAGCAATCCAATTTGAGTTTAGATCAGAAATCTATTCTTAACCTTGATTTAACATCCATCCATCGTAGTAACTGCTGGCAGTCATACATTCAGCTAAATAAATAACTGGCATGAAGAAGAACCAAGTACTGCTCCTAAAGTTGGATCCCATCCGTATTGAAAACATTGCAAAGCTGCCGTAGACAAATCATTTTCTTTTTATGTCATCTCTAACAAGGCAGCGATAATCAGAAAGGAATAAAAAGGTGAGGAAGCTGCTCATTCTTTTACTCTTTGCCCTTCTCCCTTCTAAAGCAACAGAAGAAAAAAAGAGCAGTAACCAGCACATTCCTGTAAATCACAACTAATTTCAGCCCTGCCTGACGCGCCTACTAAAGTAGAAACACATGCACTGCCTCCTCTTTTTCTTTTCCATCCTGCCACAGCCAGCCCACACTTTTTTTCCTTGACTACGTCTCTCAGTCTGCTCCCTTTGCTAGTCATTTGTTCAATGCATCCCTCATGTTTCAAACATGTAGTCAACGGATCAATACTCTGCTTCCATATTTCATCATGTCTTTCCACCAACTTTAGTTTAAACCACTTCTTCTCTTGTCCCTGTGGTGTCGATGGAAACCAAGCAACACAACACAAAATCAAAGCCAAGTGCAGCATTTTTTGCGGTTTCTCTTTACTGCCCTCCAGCTACTGTTGTCAAACTTTAAATTATGGCTGAAGCCTCTTGAATAGACAAGTAAACCTAGTCAGGCAACTTCGGAAATCCATGTTAAGCTTAATTTTTCTATTAAAAGCTTGAAGTACTCTGATGCATTTTACACCTGAATGCCAATTTAGTGCACATTTGTCATAATCATAAGATATTTCTGTAATTAAACCCCCCAATTCTGTTTTTTTTTTGTCCAAAGGGTTGCAAAAATGTTCATAATATTTTTAGAGAATGGTGAGTGACATTTTTAAGACTAAATATCTTGTGGAAACAAAAAACTAACAAACAAAAAAACGAAACCTTTCTCATGTTCATGTCTTGTTTCTGTACACACTTGTGTCCTTTCATTCTTAACCTCTGCCCCATCTATCGGTTGTATCACCAATAAAATATTAATTTGCAAAGTCTTGGGGTGGCTTCCCTCAGCATAAACAGAGAAGATGGCGGTTGTTTCTTTTCAGGCTTCAAGGTTTGGAGGAAGAAAGTAAAGACATCATCCTGTAGACAGAGGTCTCCATTCAGATACTCTCACAATTCTCAAAACTATCAGGGTATATGAATCAATGTGGGAAATTCCTTTATTTTCACTCAGACAAATGAATAAATAAACAAATAAATAAATCAATAAATAATCTTCTATGTAGAGCTAATATGCCAAGTTGTTCCAGGTAATTTTCTTTCATTTAAACTTACAAAAAAAAAGGAAAAACTAAAATAGAAGTGCAATTACTGAGGCATATGACAGATCAGTTGCCCAGGAATGAGGTTAAACTAATTTTTAACATGTTTTTGTTGCCAGTTAGAAAAAATGCAAGATATGTCACTTGCTTTGGAACTAACATAATTTTTGGTTTTATAATTTTTGCTTTTCTTTTGCGGTGAAACACAAAGGTGCAGAGCCCTGTCTGATAACTGCCTTCAAATGCCTGCCAATATGATGGTACAAAGAAACTTCTCATTAACTGAGGAGGTAGCTTTTAAAAAAGGACTGAGAACCAGAGAATGTGGAGCTACATAATGAAAACAAACAGTAGACTTACATGTGGGATATCAAACTTTGCTCTATCCAGTTATGTGATAACCTGTGCAGGGATAACAAATAGAATATAATATTAATGGCCTGGTGTATCCCTGTAGGATGTCCTAATTGTTTAGACAGAGCAGATCCGTCTTTTGTAGACACTATTTGTTGCTCCTACTGACTGGAGGGTTTAAAAAGGTCCCCTAATCAGGAAAAGAAGTTACGTGTTGAAGCATCACGTTCTGACATTAAGCAGTAGCTGGGTTATTAGTTTGCATCTACTTTCTTGACAGTATGGCCGTCTACCTCCATTTCACATAATGGGCTTTCATGCACCATTTTCCTGAGCTATCATAACCAGGTAAACCCCCCAAAAAACAGCCGCCTTTTAGTATTAATGATAATAACAAATAAAACGTTCAAACTTCAAAACAGGGATACAGACAACACAGATGCATAATCTTATTTCAAAGTTGACAAACGTCTTAAGTACAAAGACGTGTGTGCTGAGCAGTGAGCAGAAGAAAACAGGATGGTCTCTGGTTACAGCTTCCACTACACAAAACAAATAGAGTGAAACCCAAGCAAGCGGCTGTTGGCCGATGTTGATATTTTTGTTCTTTTCTTTGGGCCAGGCCAGCACTGTGCAGCAAACACTACAGCTGAGTGGAGACACACAGTTATTCCCTGGGCTTAAAAACAGGAATTTAACTGTTCTCTGTCCATTTGGTTTAGATATAATTCCCTCCTTTTTGAAAGCCACAAAATACAAACAAAATATTTTCTCTTTAGCACGTATCTTAGCAACTAAAGAACGGTTTTCCAGTGACTTCAGGGCAGGGAGTGAAAGGGATTTTTTTTTTCTTTTACTATTTTCAGTGAAGTCAGACTTGACTTAGGGTAAATTAGATTTTGCAGAATATATAACCAATAAAAGAAAATCTCCTTTGGATCGGGTTAAAGGTTGCAACATAGAACTATTAAATCAGTCGTGAAAGAAACTGGACCGGAGCCTGCTTTCATTTTCAGACGTTATAAATGGCTGTGGAGACACACTTAAAGCTCTGATCCCAGATTTTCTCCATCTGAGGTGGAACTTTGTGAGCTGCAGGTCTATGTGTGTGTTTGCAGGCGTATGCATGGTGAGTAAACACTACCGTCGGTCGTTCCTCCTACGTCGGAAGAGCTTTTTGGTGTGAGCGATCTCAGCCTCATTAGGAAGGGGTGGGAAGACCTGTGAGAAACAAACCATGGTGTAAGAGAAGGCTGCTGTCAAAACCAGCAATTTCTAAGACTCAAAGTGCATGTAGAGTCAGATGAAGCATCCTTGGTGGGGTTTTTTTTTATTTTGTTTTCAGTTAAATAAGAAGGTAAAATTGCATGCAACTCTTAACTTTTATCATCACACAGATGTTGACTGGCAGCTGGATGGGACTGACCTCACTGATTTACCTAATGACAATTAAAGAAGGACTAGCTGGGTTTACAAGTTGCTAATATTTTTCCTATGAATAAAGAACACATTTATTGCAGTAAAACTGTATTTGTCCCTGGGGGGCAATCCAATGGCACAGTATGGCAAACATGTTCATAGGCACATAAAAAAAAAATAAAGACAAGTTAACAACACAAGAATCCCCTTGTCAGGTTACTAGAAAGCTGCAATTGAAGGAAAAATCTGTTAACCTCTTAATATCCATCTCATTTCTGGGTAATTCGCCTATTTTGCATACCCAAATGGAAAAGCAAATAACTGAGGAACTGTAAGCCCAAATTACATGTGTGATACTTTATTTGAAAGCTAACACCTTCTAGTTTTTGAATATATACATTAAAATTGGATGAGTAAATCACCAAAGCTGCATCAGTTCAAACAAGACTCAAAGTTGTTTTTTTTATTCTCGAAAATAATACATCTTTTTTGAACAGCAGTTATAAAGACATGCTTGCTTGTTGGGGTTTCTTTGTCATGCTACATTTTGACATGCTGCTATAATTGTGCTTTGGTGTTCACTATGTCCATAAAATGAACTAGGTGGTTGAATTGTGGAGAATTGAAGCTTTCCAACGATGTCTAACATGTCTATATTGGTAATCATTTTACCAGCGTAATTCTCATGCATTCTGAGTTATTATTTGTAAACGCTTTAAACGAGGCTAAATGTAATAACTAATTTCCAAACAACTGCAGCTGTAGCTGGTATTATAGTTTTTAGAACAAAATATATTGGTTTGCAAGTAAAAACTGCAAACTAATATAAAAAAAAGTATGTCTTTTATGAAACTGATGGGTATCTATATTAAACAAAGACCAGAAAAAAAAAAAAAGTACAACACAAACATGTCCCGTGTTTTGCTTTAGCACAGATTCATATGAAGGAGCTTTGAATGGATCTTTAAATGAAGAGCTGCTACTACACGGGTCAAAACCTTTCTAATATCGGCCCCAGAATACATTTTTAAAAAGTCAAAAGAAACAATTGAGAGAATAAAAAAACAGACCTTAACTCTTAACATGTCAGGCAGATGATCTGACCTTTAAGACCAATAAACTAGGAGAGGAATAAATGGTGGCTCCGGTCTAAATAATTTCTTTCTCGTTTTCACTGAATAACATTCAAGGACCACATGAAAGGTTCTTTCCCTCCTCTGCATTTTCTCAGTGTTTATAAACCAGACAAACCTTGTTAAATATACTCCTAGCAGCATGCACGCTGCTGCCAGGTAAGAGAAGTTCTTAGGAATAAGCTACATCAAAATGAGTCATTTCTCATTTGACTAAATTTGATTTTTTTTTTCCAGCAGGTGGCTGAGAAATTGGTATTACTGCTGGAATAAAGTCTGATGGATATTTCCTCCCGCTTTTACAGTTCACCTCTTATAAAAAGGAAATATGAAATCCATCATCCATAAAACATTGGCTCTGTCAGTCAAACAGTACAGTTTCCCTTTGCTCATCACCACTGTGTGCTGTTACCATGGTTATAAGTGGCCTAGGACTAGCCCTGGTGAGTAAACATGCAGGGTGCGATGACCAACAGTGTTGTGAAAAGGATGAGTGCATAAATGAGCCAGACTATGAACAGCTGTGCACACAAGGTAATGTTTAAGACACAGTCCATGAGGGGTGAGCCCAGGGAGAGAGTGTTGTCTCACCCTGGTAATATTTTAAAAACCAGACAGGTGGGGATTGATCAAAAAGAAAGTAAACAGTTTCCCAAATGGTAAGAAATTAACTATGGTTTTCTCCAGCTACACATTCAAAATTACAGTTTCAGTTTTCTGACTATTATTGAAGCCATGTTATCTTAAAATCCTCCAAACTGCAATCAAAAAGCATGCTACCAACACAGTTTTATATGTCACAATTGGATTTTTTTTAGATTTCTAGAGTTTAGAGATAATTTCCAAGCATATGTATGAATGTTTTTTTTTTTTTTTTATACGTTTCCAAAAATGTTTCTACAGGGGATTTTTTAAAAAAAGCATGCTACCAACACAGTTTTATATGTCACAATTGGATTTTTTTTAGATTTCTAGAGTTTGTAGATAATTTCCAAGCATATGTATGAATGTTTTTTTTTTTTTTTTTATCGATTGCAAAGATGTGTGAAGAGGCTGGCTAGATGAAAGGACAGATTTAATTCTGATAACATATAAAGCAAAATTTTATGATTATACATAAGCATAATCTCAATAAATTTCAAAAATAAAAAAATAGAAAAATATATTCAATTTCATTCAACCACTTAAAAAACGGCATTTTTATATTTAAAATGTTTTCTGACTATTTTACATTGACTTTAAAGCAATCCTTTCAGATAAACAGGCATATCATGAGAGAGGACAGGCGGCTGCCAGATGGACGGACAGGTTTAGGAATGGATGGTCGAACTGACAGATTAGCTGGTGAACAGGGAGTGAAATCAGGGATTTCTACAGGTGTGGAAAAAAACTCAAATCAAGCCTTTTTCAGACTCCATAAAGAGTTTGTTGAAGCCGATATGAAAACCATTTTTCTTTGGTGGTTGTATTTTTTTCCCCTAAGTGCTCAAACAAAATAAAGAACCAGAACATTGTTAAAATTGATTATTCCTTACAGGAAACGGATAACTTGGGATTGTTTTAGCTTTGATTGAATACAGTTGACAGAACATGAAGGAGGAGACTTTCAAACAGACGTCCAGGAGTCTTTTTCTAAAAGAGGGCAATGGTTAGATTTTTTTTCTGTTTTAAAAGGAAGATCAAATACAGAACTAGAAAATCCTGACAATGCAATCTGTTAAGTATTTCATTCTTGTTTTGTTTGGGAATAGAACATTTAGCTGGAAAGCATTCATTAGTAGAAGAAGAACAAAAATGGGAAACCAACACATTTAGCTACTCTGGATTACTTGTAATTTGTCATTGATAATTCTTGCTATAATTCCAAAACAAACATCAGCAAGTGAACAAAATTTACAAATAATTGACATATGTACTTTACTTTATTCTATAACTCTGTTTTGAAACAAATGTAAAATATCAAGAACTTATGCTGTGAAGGCCTAATAACAGCCGATATTGTTAACTTGACAAGTGTTTCCGCCTACAGATTCCTTTTTTGTCAGTCTTAAGTGCTTTAAATTAAATAAATGGTTGTAGCACACAAAGCTTATAAAGTTAATAACTTCAAAAAGCTGTTTACAAATGATGATTTCATTCATTGAGGTGAATAGTTGCCCAAACCAACCTTGGCCTATGAGATAATCTAAAAATCATAACCCTGGATTGATACTGCTAGCCTATTCACGCCACCTTGCTTTGCACTCCACCACAATTCATTTAAGATTCTCTGAGAAGCATGCATGGTTAGCATAATAAAAAGCAGTGATAAATCCAGAAGTTAGACCAAAACAATTAAAACAGGGACTAAAAACCAGTTTAAAAAAGCCTACCTTTTTTCTTTTTTTTTCTATTCAGACATTTTCACTATTTTTGTTCTGTAATGGCTGAGTACTGCAACTACAGAGGCTATATCTTTTGTCTATTTTAGTCTATTTATTGTGTATTTGATGTGTCAGTAATAATTACTTAGAAAGGATTTCAAATCTGAGCATTAATTGTCAACACATAAGATGACAAGGCCTTGAAGAAAATCTAGACTTTGGGGAATTTTTTGGAAAGCACAAATGTAGCGCCTGTTTAACTTTTTATAGGTGCAGTTTGATCCCTGTGCATCTGACTGCAGGGTCTGGAAAAAATAGAAATGGGTCATATTTGGTGTCAAACCATTATCCTGCAGCAGCAGTGTACATGCTCACATTGACCATAATGGGTCCAACTTTACTGTGGTGTTTGCACCACAGCAGAGCAGAGCCAAAGCACTGTACATGCGATGTAACCTGTGTCATGATTTGCAGAAACAACAAGCAGCACTATATCATATTCAGCAGTGTGACATTCAACACAGTTCATTGAGCTGATTGGGTACCTGCCTCCCATGTCAAGTTTTTAGCCAATCCCAACAGCAGTAGCAGCTTGATTTGTATCACATGTAGCCAAGTTAACTGATAAATCAAATTATTACCAAATCCAGTTTGGGGGAACACGCAAACATCTTCCCATCCACAAAGGAAAAAACTGCGTCCGTGTGCTCGTTTTTCAAAAAGGAATAGCAGGTATTCTAGTTATAACTAGCGCTGGGTATTTTCGCCAAAGTCCTGAATTGATTCGATTTTGATTCATACAGTTCTAAATCAATTAATTTCAATTCGATCTGTTTTTACAACAATGAAAGTGGTTCAACTGTGTGTCAAAATACTCATGTATTTTATTTTTTTCTTGTCACATTAAACACAGGCAGACAGTTTAAACTTGAGATGTGAACAAAACTGTCTCATAAAAGCAAACTTGTTAGTGAAAACTGAAAAAGTGAAGCCTCACCATGAGCAAGCAGACGTGACACAGTGGGGACATGCATGCAGACATGCATGAGCTCTATCATCTGCACAAACCATATTTGCAGCGTTGTCTGTAACAACAACCGGGTGTTTGCTGGTCAGCCCCCATGTCTTCAGTCAACCTATTGGCTATATTTGCAGTTGTCTGGCTTGAAGTAATCTTGAGTGCATCTTTCCGGCTCATTTGAATGCGAACGTCACGCGCGTCACAATAAAACGAAACAATCTCATTCCCTAGACATCGATTTTGCAAAGATGTAAAGGAATCAATTCAAAATTGATTAAATCGATT